AATACCCAGGAGGTCAAGACGCAAGACCCTCAACTTACTTATTAGCATACAATAACTCTGCCCCCCTTGATAGAAGGGCAGCCAGTCCTGATAAGCTCCCAAACCAGGAAGCTGCCATCCTGGGAGGGGACTAAAAGCAGTAAATTTCTTGTGTTAAGCTAATTTTGTAGAATTACCCAGAGGACTGATAAGAAATATAATGTCTCATCAAAGATACCTGAGACCACCTAACAAGTCTACACCTCCAGGTGCCGGCCACACTCCTAAAGAATCCTTAAAGAGGGAACCCCCAACCCCTGGGGCGCTCCTCGGCCACCAGCATCCTCAAAGTGCACAACCTTTTAATTTCAAACTTTCTCTCTCCAACCTCCCAGGGTGCCCCTCCCTCCTGAGGCGGCCTCACTTTCTCTCTCCAGGAGTAACTCCAAACAAAACTCTCACTCCACCTCACGGCCATGTCCCCGCCCCCCAACTCTCCGCTGCGGCTGCGGCGGGGAAAGGGACCGAGGAAAACACACAACGCTCTCCCAACACCAGGGCTTGTCCTGGGATGTCTCTTGTATTTCCCCCTCCCTAGCTTTCCCTTTTCTGGTGTTAGGGGAAATAGGGGAAGCGCCCTTGGTAACCAACAGATTCCTCAGGTGAACTGGAGGCTTTATTACCATAAAAAAATAACTCAAACCTGGCAAAGCCAGGTTTCATCTGATCTAACTTTAATCCAGACAAAACAGCAAAATCTGATCATCTACTGTTTGTCCTTAACCCGGTACAGGAGACATCCCCCCAGTACCGTAACCTTCACCCCAGCAGGCTATCTGGGGGTAATTCCAAGGGAGCTCATGTGGTTCCCTTTCCCTGCTTCCCTAGGCCTAGAATTTGTATTTCCCATCCTTCAAGAGGTCCCTGTTTCTGAGATCCCTGTGTACTCAATCCCCCATAATGGAAGTTTCTTGCACACACCCCGATATTACACGTCTCAGCCACACACACTTGACCTCTGAAAAATGCCCAACCACCAAGGCAGTACTTATAGACCAATTTTCCCACCTTGGCTCGTGCACGAGGTTGCCTGGTTGCTGCGGTGCCTGCATTTTCTCCCCTGCATCAGTCACACTGTCTCCGCACAACAGTCTCGGGTCTCCCCCCTCGGCTTCCATGTGAAGGTGAGATGCCCAGACCGAGCAGGCCGCCCAAAGCCAGGCAGGACGCGTCTTCCCACTCCGCTTGGGCTCCCACCTTGCACGGGCAAGAGGATCCCGGACGAGCCACCAAATTGTGAGAAACACACTCACTGGTCCAAATTCAATAAGTGGACACGAAGACAAAGAGGACAGCGGAGCAAGGCTTTAATGAAAGTCTTGCAAGATCGGGTGTCTGGTGGGCAGGCACACCTGGGGAGTTTGGCGCCAATAATTTATCTCCTAGTACGCGAGTCCCTCCCCTGGTTCCTCATTGGCTGAGTACTACAGGGTTCAAATTCTTTCCCGGACATCGCCTAAGCCGGTTATATCTTTCCTTTACATTTGTCTTAATATTATTGGTAGGTTTGAAAAACTCAAACAGGTATAGCCAGGCCCTTATCAATTCCCCCACCCCCACTCTCAGCCAGAGCAGCTTCCACCACGTGGCCCTTTGTTCATACCTTATTGTTAAAATGTTTAAACATCCTAGTGGGAATAAATCCCATTTAGGTTTTATACTCTTTCCTAACAGAATTAATTAGCAGACCTGGTAGGGTTATCTTGTCACAGAGGACTAATAGCTGAGAAGTGTGTGTGTGTGTGTGTGTGTGTTTATATTAAATATATAGATATTTCATTTATTTGATAAACTTTTTATGGTGCTTACAGTGTGCAAGCACTGATTTAAATGCTTTTCAAATCTTTACTCCTTTGATCCTCCTAACAGCTATGAAATATGTAGTAGTATCACCAGTTTATAGATGAGAAAACTGGAGCACAGGAAACTTAATCCAAGATCACACAGCTAAGTGGCAGAGCTTGATTCAACATAAGGAATCTGGCTCCAAAATTTAAGGTCTTAATCACACAATTGTAGGTATTATTATATCACCATTTAACAGATACATTCTCTCTGAGGGAGATGATGAGCCTTGGCAAACTGTAGAGTTAATAGGGCTGCCACTTATCTTAGCTCATAAGAGGAGGGTTGGGCAGAGACCAGTGACCCCCTGACAGGAAAGTGGCTCAGAGGAGAAAGGCCACTCTCTCCAGTCTCTCCAGGCTCAGCCTCTGAGGTCTGGTTTGTAAGGCCTGATGACTCCCCAGTTCCCATCTGGTCTCCAGAGGTATTTCTCAAACTCAGAGTAGGCTCAAACCTAGCCCTCTTAATTTATTTGGAAAGTGGAGAAAGGAAAACATTTTCAGCACTGAGGAGATGGTGGTGGAACAACAAGGTGGCCTTGAGCTGTGGGAGGGAGTAACGTGGGAAGTTGGACCACTAACTGTGTTGCTCCCAGCTCCCTGTCACATAGTAGCCTGCCTCTGGACCTTCACCTGGGGCACTTCTCTTCCCTGGGTCCAAATTCTCCTGTCTTTTTTCTGGGCTGAGCTTTTAAAGTTACGTCACTTGGTTTTTATCCTTACACCTAACCTACCCAGCTCCTAGACAGGACCTGACATCTAAGTAACACTCAGCAAATGTCTGCCCAGTAAAAACATCTGCTGCTCCTATAGTTCTGACCATTTCCCACTTGCAGTATACTTACGTGAACTGTCCATTGGAACATAATCTCTGAGGACAAGGCAGCCTCCCAGTCTGATGCTTTTTGAGGTCCATGAAGTGGCAAGCACAGGATTCAAAACCCACTGAACTCTTGGCAAAGGCTTTTTAATTGAATGAACAGTAAGTGATGAGCAGATTTGTTTGGTCCCTGCCCTTTGAAACTTAACTTATACCTAGTTAGAAAGAGAATATGGACCCTGCTAAAAAGTGACAAAGTTAGTAACTAGCTTTAATTGTATGCCTGGACTGTGCCAGGCATTTACAAACCCCATTTACCAGGAGACAAAGGCTTGAAAAAGGTAAACTTCTCTAAGACAGGAAGACTACTAATAGGTGGCAGAATTGGAATTTGAATCAGATTGTCCTACTCCACTTGGGGTATGAGTTTGTGTGTGTGCATGTGCACCTGCATGCATCTGTATGTACACACGTGTGCATATGAGTATGTAAGTGCTGTGGAACCCTAAGCCACTCAGCTCCATGGTGGGAGAGTGGGGTCTGTCTGAGGTCCCCAAGGCTGCTGATTAGCTGATCATTATGAATCAGCATAGTCTTGGCAACCTGTCAGTGACCTCCAGAAAGAGAAGACATCTGTAGTGTGGAGCTGTGGGGGGGAGACTCAGCAGGTGTTTCCCACCATGGGGAGACCTTCTCCAAAGCAAGTTACAGTCCCTACCATGTGGCCCACATACCCCCTTTTCCTTTGAGCCCTGGTTCACGTAGGAGGCTGCAATCCTGGGGGTACCCTGTGGCCAAACGGTCTGTTGGGACTGAGCTGTGTCTGTGTTTCTTCTTTCTAGCCTGTTCTGTCTCCAGGCTTTTTGCCATGGACGGCCTGAGCAGGATGATTCAAGCTGCTTTCTTGGGGTTGCTCGGAGGTTGAAAATGATGAAGCTAGAGCTGGATGGGAGGGAGGAGGGCAGGCTTGGCCTTCAAACTTGGCTGTGAGTCCAAGAATGTGAGCATCACAAGGAGCCAAGCACGTTCCCAGCTCTGGGCAGAAGCTGCTCCAAGAACAAGGGAGGACTGGGCTTTGCAGCCTTCTTCCTTGCTGTCTTCCCTCTGCTCACAACTCCAGGCATGTGTCTTCCTCCTGCCCAGTCACGTCTTCCCAGCTCTGCCCTCCTAGGGTGTATGATACAGTCTGGGGGTCCTTAAAGTTTTCCATTCCCTTCCCCCAACTATAGTCATGGTCTGATTTCTTGCCTTACTGCCTGCCCCACACCAAACTACATGCCTGTAACCATATCCACCCCCGCCATGCCCCACATCACTATCTTTCACACCCACCCTCCACACAGACCCCTATCACTTCTGTCATTATTGGGAAAGGATATGAAGTAGCATGGGAAGAGTATGGGTTTTGGATTCAGATGAGCTTGGGCTTGAATTCCAGCTCTGACATCTAGCTCTTTGGCATTGGGCAAGTTACTGAATGTTCCTCAATTTCCTTATTTATTTGTAAAGTGAAGATCCTTGGTATCTATCTACACAATAAGGCTGATGTGAAGGTGATAAATTCTAACTGTAGGGAGATAAGATGATATAATAGGTAAGAATAAGGGCCTTGGAGTCAGGCTGATTAGGATGCAAAGTCCAGCTCTTCACTCATTTGCAGTGCAACTATTGGAGAATTTCTGGACCAACTGAGCCTTAGTTTGCCCATCTGTATCTATCCTACAGCATTGCTGTGAGTATTAAATGAAATAATACAAGTAAGGTGCTCAGTTTAGTACTTGGCCTGTAATTTGTGATCAATGAGAGTGATTGTTACTGCTATCATAATGGCAGTGGGGGATGTTCAGTAAATGTCTTCTCCCCTTTGCTGATTTCCTTAAATTCCCCATCCACACCTCCCAGAAGAAAGTTAAGATTCCCAGTTGAGAAGGAAGGACAGTAATGAGGGTGAGCTTTTTCTTAGTTTAAGGTCAGAAGGAAAGAAGAGGTCCAGCACAGGAGAGCCATGTTGGGGATGGGTAAACACTCAAAATTCCAGGCAGTGGCTGTATTTACAGGGGACAGTGATTTGTCGGGTAATTTGAAATCATCTGATGACTGAGAGGAAGGCCCAGGAACGCAGCTGGCCTAGGCAGAGCTGGTGCCTTCCTGGGGGTTATTAAAGAGCTGCCTTGCTCCCATTTGAACAGGCTCTCATTCAGATGGATTCATTCCCAGAGTAGGGTGGAGGGGGCTGAGAGTGGGGACACCTCCATCTCCACCCAGAGTGCTCACTCTGATACCCTCCTTCCCTGCAGAGTGGTGAAGGAAGAGATCTCGGATGACAATGCCAAGCTGCCCTGCTTCAATGGCCGGGTGGTATCCTGGGTAAGGAGCCCTCCCCAGCCTTCCCTCCTCCTGCATTCCTGCAGTGGGCTGCACAGAGGAAAGGCTCCGCTAAGATGGGAGCAGAAGACTCCAAATCTGAATTCAGAAGATTCTGTATCTGAACCTTCCTTTAGTTTTCTGAAAGAATTGTAAAATTCAGAATTTCTCATCCCAGGTTCTGTAGCCTGGGTGAAAAGTGGAGGAGTGGTGGGAAGTGGGGAAGGAGGGAAGGGAGAGATGGAAATGCACATTGGAGACAAAAGTATCTCCTGAGCCTTTGACGCAATTTGCCTGGGATTCCCTTCTATCACCTGCCAACCTCAGCCTTGGAGCTCTGACCCTTGTTGTCTGCCCCATCCCACTGCCCATCATGCCTCCCAGCCCCCCATCAACATAGCAGTGGATCTGCTGCTCATCTTAGCTGACCTTGTGCCCTGGGACTTCTCCCTGCATGTCCCCTGCTTCATTCACCTCAGGTTTTCATGCCCTGCCAGAGGCCACTACCTCTTCTTCCCTGGCACCCCTGCACCATACTGCCCATCCATTTTCTCCCCCTCAGCTGGTGTCAGCTGAGGGCGCACACCCAGAGCCAGCACCCTTCTGTGCTGACAACCCCTCGGAACTGCCACCTCCCATGGAGCGCACAGGAGGCATTGGGGACTCCCGGCCCCCATCCTTCCAGTGAGTGTGACCTGAGAGTGGGGAGGCACGTGGGGAGGGCCACGTCATCTTAGCCCGGGGCTGGGGGAGGAACCCCCCAGTCTGCCCCCTCCTCCACCAAGTCCTCTCTTCCCTGCAGCCCTCATGCTGGTGGGGGCAGCCAGGAGAACCTGGACAATGACACAGAGACAGACTCCTTGGTGTCTGCCCAGCGGGAGCGGCCACGCCGGAGGGATGGCCCAGAGCACAGTGCGTCTTCCCTGAACACATGCCTTCCCCATTCCTATACCCTTCCCACAGCTTTCACTTAGCTACCTGCATCTTTGCTGTACTTGCTGAGCTCTGGATATGCCTGGCCCCAGAGCAGCCCTGGCCCGTCCCTTTCTCCTCTCTGCCCCTCTGTATTGGGCACTGTGAACCTAGTTGCCTCCATCCCCTGCAGCAACCCGGCTAAATGGAACTGCAAAGGGGGAGCGGCGGCGAGAACCAGGGGGTTATGATAGTTCTTCTACCCTTATGAGCAGCGAGTTGGAGACTACCAGCTTCTTTGATTCGGATGAGGATGACTCCACCAGCAGGTGGGGCTTTGGTTTCCTGGGTACCATGATGTTGGTGACCCCCGAGTTGCTCTGAACCCTGAGGATGCTGGGCCTCTGGGAGGGATACGGGCTTTCTGTTGGGGACCTAGGCCCTGCAGTGCCTCTTATGGGGCAGGGCTGGGCCAGCCTGGTGGGGAACGACTGTGGGCCCCACAGGTTCAGCAGCTCCACAGAGCAGAGCAGCGCCTCACGCCTCATGAGAAGACACAAGCGGCGGCGGCGGAAGCAGAAGGTTTCACGGATTGAGCGGGTATGGGGCCTGAGATGCTGGGGATGGGTGGGGACAGACTGAGCCCTGCCTAGACAGTCCAGGGTTTGTGCTTCCTTAGCTCCTCTCCCCTCAGGTCAGTGCTTAGAATCTTAGGGGAGGTGGTGCTGAGGGCTCACCTTGAGGAGGAGCTGGGCGAGAGCAGTGAGTTCTGCCACCCCTACCTGATACTCAGGGCCTCTGTCTGTTCCAGTCCTCATCCTTCAGCAGCATCACGGACTCCACCATGTCGCTCAACATCATCACGGTCACTCTCAACATGGGTGAGTCTGGTGAAACGACCCTCCTGAGCACCTACTGTCTGCCAGACTCTGGGAAGACTCAAATGTTCAGAGAGGCACAAGAGGTGCTCTCTGCCCTCAAGGAGCTCTCTTTCTTTCATAAACCTAAACTGGTGTATAACAGATGGTTTCAGTATTTCATGATCAGTGCTATGACAGAGATAAGCACAGAGCTGTGGAAGCAGAGAATGGCATTTGGGCAGGCTTCCTGGAGGAAGTGATTTCTGATTCCTCCACCACTTCCCATTTCCAGCCATCATATTCTTTCTCTCTGATGTCTGCCCTGGGTACTCTCTGTAGAATATAGCTGGATGTAATGAAAAGAGCCCCAACTTTGGAATTTAAATCTGAGTTTGAATCTTGGCTTTGCTACTTAATGGCTTAGAAAAGTCATCTAAATTCTGTGAATCTCAGTTGCCTACTCTGTAAAATGGGACTAAGAATCCCTGCCTCACAGCTGGCATGGGTTAAATGAAAGCATTTTGAGCATGCTGAACACACTGTGTGATTCAAGCTCAATAAATGTTCTCATCTCTTTCCACCCTTCTCTAATAAGGGGTTCAGAATTTGGGTAGGAATCTTGCTCCCCTCTCAAGGTCTTATTACTCCCTATAGAAAAGTATAACTTCTTGGGCATCTCCATTGTGGGCCAAAGCAATGAACGTGGTGACGGAGGCATCTACATTGGCTCTATCATGAAGGGTGGGGCTGTGGCTGCTGATGGACGCATCGAGCCAGGAGATATGCTGTTACAGGTACTTTGCCCACTCGGGGTGGAGGTGTGGATAGGGAGTGGGGAGATGTCCCTACCCTCTACCCTGCTCATTCAGAGGCCTCTTCATAGAAGGGGGAAGACCCCCATGCCACCAAGCTCAGCTTTCCTCTCTCTGCTCCCCAACACAGCTGCTTATCCCACTCCTGGTCCTCTTCCCCAGGTAAATGAGATCAACTTTGAGAACATGAGTAATGATGACGCTGTCCGGGTACTGCGGGAGATTGTGCACAAACCGGGGTATGGATGGGATGGAGCACTGGGACCAGAGGGCAGGCATTTCTGGCTATCAGGCAAGGGGCTTGGTCTGGCATCCACACATTCTGCCCTCACTAGGGACACCCTTGCTTTCAGGCCCATCACCCTGACTGTAGCCAAGTGCTGGGACCCAAGTCCACGTGGTTGCTTCACACTACCTAGGAGTAAGTGGATGGGGAACTTGGCCTTAAAGCTGGTGCTTGGCATATGTGAGCCCTGTCTCTCCTTCCATGTTGCCCTGAACCCTCACACCTACCCTGTTGGGCCCAGCAATAAGCAGGGCAGGCAGCCCCTGACTCCTCACCCTCCCTGCAGGCGAACCCATCCGGCCCATTGACCCTGCAGCCTGGGTCTCCCACACTGCAGCCATGACTGGCACCTTCCCTGCCTACGGCATGAGCCCCTCCCTGAGCACCATCACCTCCACAAGCTCATCTATCACCAGCTCCATTCCTGACACAGAGCGTGAGTGTCCAACCCTGGGCCCTGGGCCCAGCAAACGGCCTGGTGGAAGGGACTGATGAAGGCCCACATGGAGGCTCTTGCTTGAGCATCAGGGGCTGCAGAGGGGATGAAGTTCATTCCAGCTAGCTCACACTGAAGCTTTCCTCAGTGAACACCCAACCTAAATAGTGTTTGCTTCTGAACTGGTATTGAGCACCCAGTGAGCCTCAGTTTCCTCTTGTAAAATGGGACTAATAATATGCACTTTACCAGTTCCTGGGGGGTTAGTGAGAGGATATAAGTGAAGCATCAGGCACAGTGTGTGGCATAAAGTAAGCATTCAATAAGTGCCTGCCATTTTTGTTATAACATGCACATTACACACTGCTAAGCACATTCATTTACATTATTTAATCTTCTCTTTAAACATTGTTGCAAAATAGATATTAAAGTCCCTATTTTGGCAGAGGGGAAACTGAGGGTCCAAGAAGTCAATAATTTGCCCACCACTGGTCGACAGTTATTAGGGGTAGAACTGGAGTGCAAACTCCTGTCTGCCTAGCTCCATAGCCCTTTATGCCTCAACATTCTGCTTCCCACCCCCAGGCCTAGATGACTTCCACCTGTCCATCCACAGTGACATGGCTGCCATTGTAAAAGCCATGGCCTCCCCTGAATCTGGGCTGGAGGTCCGTGACCGCATGTGGCTCAAGATTACCATCCCCAACGCTTTCATTGGTGAGAGGGCACCATGGTGGGATGAAGAACTGGGTGGGGAATGATAGGGCAGGGAGGCTGGGGGCCCAGGAACTCTGTTGCACCATGCCTTTGAGCTGGAACCAGTGCCCAGCCTCAAGGCTTCTGTGAGGCCAGATAAGCTCAAGTCAAGTGGGCCTCACAATCAAGTGGTGGCCTTGCCTCCAGGCTCAGATGTGGTGGACTGGCTGTACCACAACGTGGAAGGCTTTACTGACCGGCGAGAGGCCCGCAAGTATGCCAGCAACCTGCTGAAAGCCGGCTTCATCCGCCACACTGTCAACAAGATCACTTTCTCCGAGCAGTGCTACTATATCTTCGGCGACCTCTGTGGCAGTACGTGTCTCCCCCACCTCCTTGCCCTCTCTTCTGGCTGGGGGTGGGGAGATACCTGGGGATGCAGCAGCAGCCTCCAGAGAACTCCCATGATGGGACAGCAGAGCTGGGACCCATCTCAAGGTCTGAGAGTTCTATGGTGAAAGCAGAGTCCAGTCCAGCATGTTCACCTGCTGTGCACCCCCCTCTTGGGGCTGGCCTCCTAAGTGCCTACTCTGTGCCTAGCACCATGCTGCTTGTTTCTAAGCATCATCCTGCACTTTCATTTAGGTCTCACAAACTCCCCTCCAACCCTTGAGGAGATGGGTTACTATCCCTGTTTTCAGATGAGGAAACTAAGACTTGTACAAGCTAAATAGTCCACCCCATGTTTAGCAGATAGAAGCAGCATTTACAAACCCCATTTACCAGGAGACAAAGGCTTGAAAAAGGTAAACTTCTCTAAGACAGGAAGACTACTAATAGGTGGCAGAATTGGAATTTGAATCAGATTGTCCTACTCCACTTGGGGTATGAGTTTGTGTGTGTGCATGTGCACCTGCATGCATCTGTATGTACACACGTGTGCATATGAGTATGTAAGTGCTGTGGAACCCTAAGCCACTCAGCTCCATGGTGGGAGAGTGGGGTCTGTCTGAGGTCCCCAAGGCTGCTGATTAGCTGATCATTATGAATCAGCATAGTCTTGGCAACCTGTCAGTGACCTCCAGAAAGAGAAGACATCTGTAGTGTGGAGCTGTGGGGGGGAGACTCAGCAGGTGTTTCCCACCATGGGGAGACCTTCTCCAAAGCAAGTTACAGTCCCTACCATGTGGCCCACATACCCCCTTTTCCTTTGAGCCCTGGTTCACGTAGGAGGCTGCAATCCTGGGGGTACCCTGTGGCCAAACGGTCTGTTGGGACTGAGCTGTGTCTGTGTTTCTTCTTTCTAGCCTGTTCTGTCTCCAGGCTTTTTGCCATGGACGGCCTGAGCAGGATGATTCAAGCTGCTTTCTTGGGGTTGCTCGGAGGTTGAAAATGATGAAGCTAGAGCTGGATGGGAGGGAGGAGGGCAGGCTTGGCCTTCAAACTTGGCTGTGAGTCCAAGAATGTGAGCATCACAAGGAGCCAAGCACGTTCCCAGCTCTGGGCAGAAGCTGCTCCAAGAACAAGGGAGGACTGGGCTTTGCAGCCTTCTTCCTTGCTGTCTTCCCTCTGCTCACAACTCCAGGCATGTGTCTTCCTCCTGCCCAGTCACGTCTTCCCAGCTCTGCCCTCCTAGGGTGTATGATACAGTCTGGGGGTCCTTAAAGTTTTCCATTCCCTTCCCCCAACTATAGTCATGGTCTGATTTCTTGCCTTACTGCCTGCCCCACACCAAACTACATGCCTGTAACCATATCCACCCCCGCCATGCCCCACATCACTATCTTTCACACCCACCCTCCACACAGACCCCTATCACTTCTGTCATTATTGGGAAAGGATATGAAGTAGCATGGGAAGAGTATGGGTTTTGGATTCAGATGAGCTTGGGCTTGAATTCCAGCTCTGACATCTAGCTCTTTGGCATTGGGCAAGTTACTGAATGTTCCTCAATTTCCTTATTTATTTGTAAAGTGAAGATCCTTGGTATCTATCTACACAATAAGGCTGATGTGAAGGTGATAAATTCTAACTGTAGGGAGATAAGATGATATAATAGGTAAGAATAAGGGCCTTGGAGTCAGGCTGATTAGGATGCAAAGTCCAGCTCTTCACTCATTTGCAGTGCAACTATTGGAGAATTTCTGGACCAACTGAGCCTTAGTTTGCCCATCTGTATCTATCCTACAGCATTGCTGTGAGTATTAAATGAAATAATACAAGTAAGGTGCTCAGTTTAGTACTTGGCCTGTAATTTGTGATCAATGAGAGTGATTGTTACTGCTATCATAATGGCAGTGGGGGATGTTCAGTAAATGTCTTCTCCCCTTTGCTGATTTCCTTAAATTCCCCATCCACACCTCCCAGAAGAAAGTTAAGATTCCCAGTTGAGAAGGAAGGACAGTAATGAGGGTGAGCTTTTTCTTAGTTTAAGGTCAGAAGGAAAGAAGAGGTCCAGCACAGGAGAGCCATGTTGGGGATGGGTAAACACTCAAAATTCCAGGCAGTGGCTGTATTTACAGGGGACAGTGATTTGTCGGGTAATTTGAAATCATCTGATGACTGAGAGGAAGGCCCAGGAACGCAGCTGGCCTAGGCAGAGCTGGTGCCTTCCTGGGGGTTATTAAAGAGCTGCCTTGCTCCCATTTGAACAGGCTCTCATTCAGATGGATTCATTCCCAGAGTAGGGTGGAGGGGGCTGAGAGTGGGGACACCTCCATCTCCACCCAGAGTGCTCACTCTGATACCCTCCTTCCCTGCAGAGTGGTGAAGGAAGAGATCTCGGATGACAATGCCAAGCTGCCCTGCTTCAATGGCCGGGTGGTATCCTGGGTAAGGAGCCCTCCCCAGCCTTCCCTCCTCCTGCATTCCTGCAGTGGGCTGCACAGAGGAAAGGCTCCGCTAAGATGGGAGCAGAAGACTCCAAATCTGAATTCAGAAGATTCTGTATCTGAACCGTCCTTTAGTTTTCTGAAAGAATTGTAAAATTCAGAATTTCTCATCCCAGGTTCTGTAGCCTGGGTGAAAAGTGGAGGAGTGGTGGGAAGTGGGGAAGGAGGGAAGGGAGAGATGGAAATGCACATTGGAGACAAAAGTATCTCCTGAGCCTTTGACGCAATTTGCCTGGGATTCCCTTCTATCACCTGCCAACCTCAGCCTTGGAGCTCTGACCCTTGTTGTCTGCCCCATCCCACTGCCCATCATGCCTCCCAGCCCCCCATCAACATAGCAGTGGATCTGCTGCTCATCTTAGCTGACCTTGTGCCCTGGGACTTCTCCCTGCATGTCCCCTGCTTCATTCACCTCAGGTTTTCATGCCCTGCCAGAGGCCACTACCTCTTCTTCCCTGGCACCCCTGCACCATACTGCCCATCCATTTTCTCCCCCTCAGCTGGTGTCAGCTGAGGGCGCACACCCAGAGCCAGCACCCTTCTGTGCTGACAACCCCTCGGAACTGCCACCTCCCATGGAGCGCACAGGAGGCATTGGGGACTCCCGGCCCCCATCCTTCCAGTGAGTGTGACCTGAGAGTGGGGAGGCACGTGGGGAGGGCCACGTCATCTTAGCCCGGGGCTGGGGGAGGAACCCCCCAGTCTGCCCCCTCCTCCACCAAGTCCTCTCTTCCCTGCAGCCCTCATGCTGGTGGGGGCAGCCAGGAGAACCTGGACAATGACACAGAGACAGACTCCTTGGTGTCTGCCCAGCGGGAGCGGCCACGCCGGAGGGATGGCCCAGAGCACAGTGCGTCTTCCCTGAACACATGCCTTCCCCATTCCTATACCCTTCCCACAGCTTTCACTTAGCTACCTGCATCTTTGCTGTACTTGCTGAGCTCTGGATATCCCTGGCCCCAGAGCAGCCCTGGCCCGTCCCTTTCTCCTCTCTGCCCCTCTGTATTGGGCACTGTGAACCTAGTTGCCTCCATCCCCTGCAGCAACCCGGCTAAATGGAACTGCAAAGGGGGAGCGGCGGCGAGAACCAGGGGGTTATGATAGTTCTTCTACCCTTATGAGCAGCGAGTTGGAGACTACCAGCTTCTTTGATTCGGATGAGGATGACTCCACCAGCAGGTGGGGCTTTGGTTTCCTGGGTACCATGATGTTGGTGACCCCCGAGTTGCTCTGAACCCTGAGGATGCTGGGCCTCTGGGAGGGATACGGGCTTTCTGTTGGGGACCTAGGCCCTGCAGTGCCTCTTATGGGGCAGGGCTGGGCCAGCCTGGTGGGGAACGACTGTGGGCCCCACAGGTTCAGCAGCTCCACAGAGCAGAGCAGCGCCTCACGCCTCATGAGAAGACACAAGCGGCGGCGGCGGAAGCAGAAGGTTTCACGGATTGAGCGGGTATGGGGCCTGAGATGCTGGGGATGGGTGGGGACAGACTGAGCCCTGCCTAGGCAGTCCAGGGTTTGTGCTTCCTTAGCTCCTCTCCCCTCAGGTCAGTGCTTAGAATCTTAGGGGAGGTGGTGCTGAGGGCTCACCTTGAGGAGGAGCTGGGCGAGAGCAGTGAGTTCTGCCACCCCTACCTGATACTCAGGGCCTCTGTCTGTTCCAGTCCTCATCCTTCAGCAGCATCACGGACTCCACCATGTCGCTCAACATCATCACGGTCACTCTCAACATGGGTGAGTCTGGTGAAACGACCCTCCTGAGCACCTACTGTCTGCCAGACCCTGGGAAGACTCAAATGTTCAGAGAGGCACAAGAGGTGCTCTCTGCCCTCAAGGAGCTCTCTTTCTTTCATAAACCTAAACTGGTGTATAACAGATGGTTTCAGTATTTCATGATCAGTGCTATGACAGAGATAAGCACAGAGCTGTGGAAGCAGAGAATGGCATTTGGGCAGGCTTCCTGGAGGAAGTGATTTCTGATTCCTCCACCACTTCCCATTTCCAGCCATCATATTCTTTCTCTCTGATGTCTGCCCTGGGTACTCTCTGTAGAATATAGCTGGATGTAATGAAAAGAGCCCCAACTTTGGAATTTAAATCTGAGTTTGAATCTTGGCTTTGCTACTTAATGGCTTAGAAAAGTCATCTAAATTCTGTGAATCTCAGTTGCCTACTCTGTAAAATGGGACTAAGAATCCCTGCCTCACAGCTGGCATGGGTTAAATGAAAGCATTTTGAGCATGCTGAACACACTGTGTGATTCAAGCTCAATAAATGTTCTCATCTCTTTCCACCCTTCTCTAATAAGGGGTTCAGAATTTGGGTAGGAATCTTGCTCCCCTCTCAAGGTCTTATTACTCCCTATAGAAAAGTATAACTTCTTGGGCATCTCCATTGTGGGCCAAAGCAATGAACGTGGTGACGGAGGCATCTACATTGGCTCTATCATGAAGGGTGGGGCTGTGGCTGCTGATGGACGCATCGAGCCAGGAGATATGCTGTTACAGGTACTTTGCCCACTCGGGGTGGAGGTGTGGATAGGGAGTGGGGAGATGTCCCTACCCTCTACCCTGCTCATTCAGAGGCCTCTTCATAGAAGGGGGAAGACCCCCATGCCACCAAGCTCAGCTTTCCTCTCTCTGCTCCCCAACACAGCTGCTTATCCCACTCCTGGTCCTCTTCCCCAGGTAAATGAGATCAACTTTGAGAACATGAGTAATGATGACGCTGTCCGGGTACTGCGGGAGATTGTGCACAAACCGGGGTATGGATGGGATGGAGCACTGGGACCAGAGGGCAGGCATTTCTGGCTATCAGGCAAGGGGCTTGGTCTGGCATCCACACATTCTGCCCTCACTAGGGACACCCTTGCTTTCAGGCCCATCACCCTGACTGTAGCCAAGTGCTGGGACCCAAGTCCACGTGGTTGCTTCACACTACCTAGGAGTAAGTGGATGGGGAACTTGGCCTTAAAGCTGGTGCTTGGCATATGTGAGCCCTGTCTCTCCTTCCATGTTGCCCTGAACCCTCACACCTACCCTGTTGGGCCCAGCAATAAGCAGGGCAGGCAGCCCCTGACTCCTCACCCTCCCTGCAGGCGAACCCATCCGGCCCATTGACCCTGCAGCCTGGGTCTCCCACACTGCAGCCATGACTGGCACCTTCCCTGCCTACGGCATGAGCCCCTCCCTGAGCACCATCACCTCCACAAGCTCATCTATCACCAGCTCCATTCCTGACACAGAGCGTGAGTGTCCAACCCTGGGCCCTGGGCCCAGCAAACGGCCTGGTGGAAGGGACTGATGAAGGCCCACATGGAGGCTCTTGCTTGAGCATCAGGGGCTGCAGAGGGGATGAAGTTCATTCCAGCTAGCTCACACTGAAGCTTTCCTCAGTGAACACCCAACCTAAATAGTGTTTGCTTCTGAACTGGTATTGAGCACCCAGTGAGCCTCAGTTTCCTCTTGTAAAATGGGACTAATAATATGCACTTTACCAGTTCCTGGGGGGTTAGTGAGAGGATATAAGTGAAGCATCAGGCACAGTGTGTGGCATAAAGTAAGCATTCAATAAGTGCCTGCCATTTTTGTTATAACATGCACATTACACACTGCTAAGCACATTCATTTACATTATTTAATCTTCTCTTTAAACATTGTTGCAAAATAGATATTAAAGTCCCTATTTTGGCAGAGGGGAAACTGAGGGTCCAAGAAGTCAATAATTTGCCCACCACTGGTCGACAGTTATTAGGGGTAGAACTGGAGTGCAAACTCCTGTCTGCCTAGCTCCATAGCCCTTTATGCCTCAACATTCTGCTTCCCACCCCCAGGCCTAGATGACTTCCACCTGTCCATCCACAGTGACATGGCTGCCATTGTAAAAGCCATGGCCTCCCCTGAATCTGGGCTGGAGGTCCGTGACCGCATGTGGCTCAAGATTACCATCCCCAACGCTTTCATTGGTGAGAGGGCACCATGGTGGGATGAAGAACTGGGTGGGGAATGATAGGGCAGGGAGGCTGGGGGCCCAGGAACTCTGTTGCACCATGCCTTTGAGCTGGAACCAGTGCCCAGCCTCAAGGCTTCTGTGAGGCCAGATAAGCTCAAGTCAAGTGGGCCTCACAATCAAGTGGTGGCCTTGCCTCCAGGCTCAGATGTGGTGGACTGGCTGTACCACAACGTGGAAGGCTTTACTGACCGGCGAGAGGCCCGCAAGTATGCCAGCAACCTGCTGAAAGCCGGCTTCATCCGCCACACTGTCAACAAGATCACTTTCTCCGAGCAGTGCTACTATATCTTCGGCGACCTCTGTGGCAGTACGTGTCTCCCCCACCTCCTTGCCCTCTCTTCTGGCTGGGGGTGGGGAGATACCTGGGGATGCAGCAGCAGCCTCCAGAGAACTCCCATGATGGGACAGCAGAGCTGGGACCCATCTCAAGGTCTGAGAGTTCTATGGTGAAAGCAGAGTCCAGTCCAGCATGTTCACCTGCTGTGCACCCCCCTCTTGGGGCTGGCCTCCTAAGTGCCTACTCTGTGCCTGGCACCATGCTGCTTGTTTCTAAGCATCATCCTGCACTTTCATTTAGGTCTCACAAACTCCCCTCCAACCCTTGAGGAGATGGGTTACTATCCCTGTTTTCAGATGAGGAAACTAAGACTTGTACAAGCTAAATAGTCCACCCCATGTTTAGCAGATAGAAGCAGAGGAACTAGGTCTTTGGTCCCATGCTTTATGACTCCAGACCTCTACTTCTTCCCACTACCTGGGGCAGCCCTATGTGTGTGGTGTTGCATAAATGTTGCCTCTACAAGGCCAAACAGAGTTCCCACCCTTCCAGCACCAAACAGGTTCCACCAAGGCACCACCAAGCCATAGGCCTGGAGCTGGCCTAAGGCACCAAGTGCACAGCCTCCTCAGACCCTGAGTATGAGCTGTGCCTCAGGATGAAGCTGGAGAAGCTGTCAGGGCCAGTTGTCAGAGAGCTCTACAAGCTATACTGAAGAGTTTGGATTGATCCTAAGAAAATGCAAAGCAAGTGAGGGTTGCTAAGCAGGAGAGAGCTGTAAGGAATTCCCTTTTCCTTCAGAACCTAGAGACAGCCTTTGGGAAGGGGAGTCCTCAGGGCAGCATTGCTCAGGGCTGAGAGCTGAAGCCCACCCCTAGCAGCCACCTCTGCTTGAGGGAGCCTTCTCTCAGTTCAGTAGTGCTGGCTAGAGTCCACAAACTAACTCTTAAAAGTGCTTCATTTGAGGTTTGAGGGACTACAAATGCTGTTTCTGCAGAGTACAAATCCCTGGTGGAAGGACTGGCGCTCAGTAGCTTCAGCATGGCTCCATGGAGTAGTGATAGATGCATAGTGTTTTGGAATTAGACAGTTCTGAGTTCAAATCCTGGCTCCATCCTTACTGTGTGAACCTGAGTAAGTGACAGCCTCTCAGTATCTTGATATCTAAGGTGGAGGTAATAGAACCTATCTCATAGAGCTGTTTTGAGGATGGTACGAGATAACGCGTATAATGCTTTTAGCACCATGTTTGGTCTACAGTACATGCTCTAAAATAGTTGTCCATTTTCATATATTTAATTAATTCTAAGGGGAACATTTTTTCCCATCTCAGTAACAGTGAAACTTGGGTGCATCTTACAATCAATGGCTTCTTAGATTTAGTCATGTGCTTATTATCACCATTAGCAGAAGTCAGCCCTGGCCCCAAACCTCCAGAGACAGACAGCTTCTCAGGGTAGCTGTAGCTTTTGCTTGAGACATTGTTCTATCCCTGGGGCTTCCTGGGGATTCTTCCCATGGACCAAGGCCACCAGAGGCCCAGCTCAGGAAGATGCTGACAGAGCAGGCCTTTTCCTACTCACAGCCAAGGTCTCCTCAGCCAGGAGTGTGACAGACTCAAAGGGAAACACTGGGGACCTGGGTAGTCCCAGGAGCACACAGTCAGTCCCCTCAGGACAACAGGCTAGAGGCTGAAGTAGTCACCAGCTTTCTGGCATGATCCAAGGCAAGCCTGCTTTTTACTATCACCCCATGCCAGCTGCTGGCCTTGACAGGTTGATGGCTTGGCTGGCAGATTCCACAGTCTGCCTCTGCCCCCTCAGAGCCCCACTCCTGACCTCTTCTCCCCTGGAAGGTTGGGCTAGCTCACTTAAGGGCTTGGAACCAAGGGTTCTGTCTGCATCTGACTGCTGGCCCCTAGGGCAATTACAGCTCTCTGGGAGCTCTGGGACCTGATAAAGATGGAATGTGAGCAAGAGGTGTTCCAGGCAGGTAATCAGTTTTAGTGGCCCCTTATACTCCCTTCCAAGTACTTCCAATATTTGTGGGGGCAGCCTTGCTCTTAAGGAGTACACAGTCTACTTGGGGAGCCAGACTCATGCAAGAAGTGATGTTAAAGCAGTGAGACAGGTACTGTGAGGAACCAGGCCTCGGGGGTGGGGTGCAGAGCACAGAAGGAGCACTTAAGTTCTCATAGGCCCTTTCCACCTGGCTCCCACTTCCCCAGCAGCACCAGATAATTGATCCCAGCCAAGCCTTCTATATGGGAAGGCTCTGAAAGGCACTATGTTCATTCTAGCTTTCAATGGCTATTTTTTAAGTCCTAAGTAAGGGGGCAGTGCAAAACTTCATTGAAATTTCCCCAGACTGCTCCCTATTTCTTACTAATAAACCTCATCCAGAAAGGTGAGGAGAAAGTAAGCAACTTTCTGCTCTGGCAACAATTTGGGCTGACATCAGCCTTGTCATCTAACCTCTCTGAACTTCACTTTCCTCATCTAGGAAAAATGTGACTGATACCTTCTTCATAGGGTTGTGGTAATATTTGCATGACCTAAGTACTTTGTATTCTACCTGATGAATTGTAGGTATGCAATACCTAGTGGCTGTCTGGTATTTCAGCTTCCCACATTCCCCTATCTCCTAACCCTCTAAATGAACAGGAATAAACTGCCAAATACAAGTTTTGCCACTTCCAGCCCACTAAGGAAGGAGGAAAAACTACCAAAAGCGTTGTAAGGGCCCTTCATGGGACTGGGAGTTGGCTGTCAGGGCTTGGCATTGAGCATCTAAGTGGTGACTCAGGGCCTTTCAGAGGGGAGACAGCCCCACTATCTCTGCTGGGTAGAAGAGGAGGTTTGAAGGAGTGACAGATAATTGGCCTATGCCTCCTCCCATTCTGGGGAGAAACTCACAGTCTGTTGCTATCATCCCAAATGGGCCCACTGGACCTAGGCTGGGAACTTCTTTCTCCTGACCTAGTGTTGGAGGGGGCAAGGGATAGGCCCGGCTCATCACACCCTCCCTCCGCAGACATGGCCGGCCTGTCTCTCCGTGATCATGACGGCTCCAGCGGCGCCTCTGACCAGGACACGCTGGCCCCTTTGCCGCACCCGGGGGCCGCGCCATGGCCCATGGCTTTCCCTTACCAGTACCCGCCGCCCCCGCACCCCTACAATCCACACCCAGGCTTCCCAGAGCTGGGGTACAGCTATGGCGGAGGCAGCGCCAGCAGTCAGCATAGTGAAGGTAAGGCCGAGAGGACTGCGTACGGGGCCACAGGCGAGCCCCGGTCTTCCTCCGCGAGCTCTGAGTGCCCCCCCACCCTGTCTCTGCCTGTCCCTACAGGCAGCCGAAGCAGTGGCTCCAACCGTAGCGGCAGTGACCGACGGAAGGAGAAAGACCCAAAGGCTGGGGACTCAAAGTCGGGTGGCAGCGGCAGCGAATCGGACCACACAACCCGCAGCAGCCTGCGGGGGCCGCGGGAGCGGGCACCCAGCGAGCGCTCTGGGCCTGCTGCCAGCGAGCATAGCCACCGCAGCCACCACTCACTGGCCAGCAGCCTGCGCAGCCACCACACGCACCCAAGCTACGGCCCCCCTGGCGTGCCCCCTCTCTACGGTCCCCCCATGCTGATGATGCCCCCACCACCCGCGGCCATGGGGCCCCCAGGAGCCCCTCCTGGCCGAGACCTGGCCTCTGTGCCCCCCGAACTGACAGCCAGCAGACAGTCCTTCCGCATGGCCATGGGAAACCCCAGTGAGTTCTTTGTGGATGTGATGTGAACAGGGCCCCTCCCCTACTTCCATCCTGCCCTCTCCCTGGACAGCTGCATCCCTCTTGCCATTCGTCCGTCTTTTTTACTTTGTCTGGTACCTGAAAGGGAAATAAACGGAACTAAATCCAGATGCGCTAACTGCTTGCTAGGTGCAGTGAGGGCAGGGCATACCCCCCAATCTGTACTGCAGCCCTTAACCTGCAGCTGGCCCCAGCTTGTCCCTCTGCCCACTAACCACTGAGCAGGATTTCCCCGGATCTTTCATGTGGTGCTACCTTCTTAGTCCCCCGCCCCCTTCTTCCCCACATCAAGAATTGACACCGTTGGTGCTCTGAAGGCCTGTTCACCTCCTTATTACACCTTCCCCCACTTAGTTCCCTTTTGCCATTCACTGAGCTACATGTATCATCCTTCCATTAACCCCAGCCCCTCAAGCATGTGTACCAGTCTCCACTTTTCCCCATAGTACTGACTCATCTGCCCCACCTCCTAACTGTCTCCTGCCTGCTGCCTCAGTCTTGCACCCTAGAACTCTAGCCTCCTCCTGTCACCATCTATGTTAGGCCTGCCTGTATCCTGCCTTTACCAGAGGCCCCCTCAGCTGCCTGAGCTGCTGGTGGCTTTCCAGAAGCATCTCTGCTCTGCCCTGCAACCCACACCATGTCTGCCCTGTGTGCTGGTTCCTTCAGACCCCTAACTCCACTAACCAGCAGACTCATCTCACCCTCTGGGCCTGAAACATGTCTTTTCTTTCTTTTTTCCTCCCCCAATTTTTCCTGGGCTGGAGTAGCCAAGAATTTCAGGCTGTTTGACTTTCTGTGAGCCCCATGGAGGGGAGGCCCAGCCTCTGAGGATACCAGGAACTCTGCTTCATCAGCCCCTCAGGGCTTCCCAAGGATGTCCAGCTCCCACCCCATACTTCAACATGTCGAGTCACTAGGTTTCTGGGGAGCACCTCAGCCTCTTCACCCATGTATGAGAGAGACTGTTCCAGAGAGTTTGCACTGTCCCTCCTCTCCCCCTGCCCCTCCCCATCTCACATGTGCCTATGCAAGTTCACTTAAGCCCCAGGGCTGGTCCCTGCCCAGAGGGCTGGAACCTCTCCCCCAATCCTCTCCCAAGTTGTGGGGCTGGTCCCCTGACTTCCTTTACTCATTGCCCTCAAATGTCCCACCCATGTCCCCGTCATCTTCCTACCTAGGTAAGGCCCATAAGCTGGTCTCAGGTTGGGCTCAGCAGAGGACTTCTTAGGCAATTGACAGGCTATTCTCACCCTGTCTGTGGCCCCAAATACCCTTCCCTGTTCTCATAGTCCCCATGTTACCGCAGAGCAAGGTTGGGCAGGGGGACTTACAGGACTGCCAGACAACGGAAACTGGTTTTAATTTTTACCTTACTCTACAATTCAAATGAATCATGTTTCTCTTTAAGCCTCTTCAATAAATTCTCTAGCTCCTCTAGGCTTCCATATTTTTAGTACTGGGGTGTCAAGAGTAAGGTGAAGTCATAAGCTCCAGGCTTTAGGACACACCAGGGTAGGGGCATTTTGGCATTCATTCATTTAACAAATACTTCCGAGTTTTTGGTGTTGGAGGGCTGTGTTCGAAGTGTAACTCAGTCTCTTCTGCCTTCTGGGAACTCTGGGTTTGCTCTCAACCCAGACCATGGCTTCTAGCCACCACGGTAGGCTGCCTCCTATACTTCTCTTCCCTGTCTGACTCTGCCATGCCCAACTTCCTTGAGAATTCCTCCACTATTGCTTATGCCTTCAGAGCTGGTGCTCTCAGCATTCTCTTTGGTCCACTTCTCTTTCCTGTCTATTTACTCCCCAAATGGTATCATCTATCCTGATGTCCTCAACTAACTCTGATATACTGGTGATTCCCAAATGTATATCTCCAGCCCCAACTTCCCTCTCATCTTTAGATCTGTATTTTTTTCACCTACTGGACGCCTCTATGGACATGTCCATATAGACTCAACTCATTTCTCCACCAAGTGCGTTCCTCCTGAATCTCAATCCTGGTTACCTTCATTACACTATGTATAGGCTCACCAGCTAGAAACATGTATGGGCTTAAATTCATTCCTATATCTTACTAATCAGCATATCATATCCATTCCACTCCAAAAATTTTTCTTGAATTTGGCCCTTTCTCCTCTGCCTCTACTCTAGTTCACAAGATCATGGGATTTGGAGTCAGGTTGTTCTGGGTTTGAATCCCAGCTCTACTACTTTTTGGTTGCGCGATAGAGTTATTTAATCTCTCTGAGCCCCAGTTCCTCATGTAAAATGACGATAATAATACCTACCTCACAGGGTTGTTGTGAGGATTTAAATTAGGTATTGTATGAAAAGTGCCTAGCATAATGCCTGGCACACAGTAGAATAGGTGCTCAATAAATGGTAGCCATTATTATTATTTATTATTATTACTATTTACTCTAAATTGGTAGGGGTTCAGTGTTGGCTTGGAGATAAAGCTTTTGGAAAGATAAGAGTGAAACTTTGAGGGGTGGGTCAAGGATTAGAAGTGCCTATACACAGTCATTTGGTGGCTTCAGGCTATGACCACAACTTGAGGGAAGCAGATCTTTATTCTGCCACATTCTGGCTTCTAGCAGGAGGATGCTAGGGAAAGTAAGGTTTGCAAACAGGTTTGTCTTTTCTTGCCTCTTCTCCCTCCCACGATGGGTTCAGCCCACTGTTTGGAAGGCAATAGGGTATATCTCACAAAAAGAAGAGCCAACAAATTTTCATCAGGTCCTACAAAAGCTAGGCAGCCCTCATGTTCCAGGGTTGGCTCTGTCTCTTCTCAACTTGGATGTGAGGATTAACCCTGTTCATTAGAGAAGGGATTTCAAATCCCATGTCCAGTCACATTCAACTCACCAACGGTTATCTAAGCAACATATGCCTGTTGCCAGGAGGCACACGGGTGCTGGCCTTGAGCTCAATCACGTAGGTGTAGCTGAGGTAGAACACAGACATATTCTTGAAAAAGTTTTATCTATTTTCTTCAAGGTATTTTCCCCCTCACTCCCTGCTCCCTTCCTTAGGTCTTGGTCCCTGGGAAAAGGCACATACCTGGAACAAACATGATGAAAAAAGCTGGGGAAAATCAGAGGTGGTGTTAGGAAACAGTTAAGTTTAGCACAAACACTTCTGCCAAGTCGTGTGTTTGTGTGTAAAGTGACGACAGCCAGTCCTCAGACTCTGGAGCCAGAAAAGGCCTACAGCAATCCAAGGTTTAACAGATGGACTTCAACAAATGACATTAGTCCTCTGGGGCTCTCCGGAATGCTGAAATAGGAACACGAGGCTGCAAGACTGCAGTTCCCAGAGTGCTCAGTGGGGAAAATGAAGTGCGTGCAGGGGCGTATGCTGGGACGTGTATTTCGGGAAGGGCTTGATAAGGCCACTACTACCCCTCTCTAAGGCACGCCTAACTCAACCCCTCCCTTCGAAAGTTCTTGAAGGTAATTGGTAGTTGCAGTTTTGTTTAACCCAGAGCGCCAAAAATTGTAGGCGAGAAGGCTGAGGGGTCTGACGGGATTTGTAGTCTGCGCAGGAGGCCGACGCGCACGCGCGACTGAGACTGGGGCGGGGCCCCGGCACTGCGGTGAAAGCCGAGACAGCGGGCAGGCGAGCAGGGGGCGGGCGGACATCTTGGGATCCGAAGAGTGGCCGGGCCGGCTGAGCAGGGGGCCACGGACACCAGGTGAGCTCGGGATCTAGCCTTCCGGAGTGAGGGAGGGTGCCTGCTCCGCTAACCAGCTTTGTCCTTCTCTGCACTGTGCTACGCGGAAAGCTGCCCACACCCGGGAGTGGCCTCAGCCTTGATCCGGGAGAGAGCTGACGGCTGGGCGGGGGCGCCCGGGGCGCGGTTGCAGGACGGGCGGAGAGCGGCGCCCTCCACCTACCCGTCCGGCGCCTCCCTGGAGCAGGAGACCTCCCGGAATCCTCCCAGAGCAGGGACGCCGCGCGGCGCCCGCGCCCTGGGATCTTGACAACCCCCCTACCCCTCAGCACCTCCTCTCTCGCAAGGACAATTCCCCCATCTCCTAGGATAGTAACACCCCCTTGGTCCGCCTCCTTGGGCTGTGACAGGCCTTCCACCACCCCCTCCTCCAGTTGACAACCCGTGGCTCTTCTTACTCAGGCCTGTGAGAGCCTCCGCACTCCGTGGAGTCATCTTTTTCTTCAGTGTCTTCCTCCCCCGCGCAAAAAGCCCCCCCCCCCCCATGCTTTTACACCTGAACCCAACAGGTTCCGTCTCATCTTTCTCTTGTTCACCACTGTCAGTCTCTCCCTGCCGTTTTTTCTCTTCACAGCTCTGACCTTTGTCAAACTGGAAACACTCCTCCAGGTGCCCCCGGCCAGCCTTGTTGCTGCTGTGGGCTCACCTGAGTATCCTGCCTGGCTGTTGCTGTTAGTCTTTTCCTCTAACTAAATATTCCATTCCTTGTCTGGGCTCCACCTCTGCTTCTTAGGTGCCCTGAGCTCCCTACCACTTGATACCTCTGAACTTGTTTTTTTGCCCAGGCTCTACCTTCATTTTGCATTTCCTCTCCCAGCGTCTTTGGGAGTGCAGGGTGGGATGTGTCCACCACCTTGAGAGACCTCTCACTGAGTCTGGCAGACCTTGATAACTACAACAATGGGCTTTATTTTCCAGTTTTTGAAAATCTGCTAAACTCCCCACTGTGAAATTAATACCAGGCCAATTCAGGAAATCTATAACTAAATTAACCATTTTTTCCTTTGCAAACAGTCTAAATTAGTTTGACCCAAATAATTTGGATAATTCAACCATTCTGCCTCTTACTTATAGACACTCAGACCAGGAGTGAGTTTTCATGGGCCTGGAATCAACAGAATTTTGGCTGGAAGAATGTCTTAATTTTATAAACTTGCACCCTTTCAACACCCCCCCCACCCCCCACACCTTTATTTTTATTTCACTTGGGAGTGGAGAGGGGGGCCTTCCTTTTTTAAAGGGGGTGGTTAAAAGTAACTAATAAGCCAAAAGGGTCATTGAAATGTGTTCCACCAGGGCTGGGGCCTTTCTACTTTGCTCTTGCTGCTTATCTGACTGCCTGGGAGAGGTTAGAAGCACAGTCCTAGTCCCTGTCAGGGCTTCTCTCCTCCCCACACCTTGCACACCCCTTCCTGGAATGTTTAGACTTCTGTGAATTAGGAAGCCAAGGTTCAGGCCCTTCCGCCCCCTGAGACGGGTAGTGGAGCCTGAGAGACTGTATTCCTAAAGCTGTGCCTGGGGGCCCCAGGCCTGAACCGACTAATTCCTACCGCCATTCTTGCTGCCGCAGGCAGGCCTTTGCAGTGACTCATAGGCTAGAGCCTGAGTGAGAGTCTGCACTGGAAGGGGCTGAAAGGGATCCTTGCTGAGCTCAGCGCTGTGGAGAGAGGGAGGGGGCTATTCTCTGGGCTCAGTTCCAGAAAAGGGAGGGTCAAAATGGCCCTGGCAGTTCTCCCTTCCAGTGTGGGATAAACAGGAACTGGAGCTTGGCTAAGGGGAGGGGCATGCCTGGGAGGGCTGCAGTGTCACTTGCTGGAGAGTTGAGTCAGGAAAAAAGCCAAGCCAGTGACCTGCACAGCCCCACGGGGGACATTAGCAGGGGTTCTGAGTCCTTCCCTTGCTCTGCCCCCACCTCTCCTAGGTCTGTTCTCAGAGCGATGGGCCGAGAAGACTGAGCTGCCGCCATGATTGGAGGCTTATTCATCTATAATCACAAGGGGGAGGTGCTCATCTCCCGGGTCTACCGAGATGACATTGGGTGAGTCCCTGCCTGAGCCAGCTCTGTGCCCTCCCAAAACCTTCCTTCCCAGCATGCAGTACTAGGTTCATTCCTACCAGAGGCTTGGCTCTGACAATCCCAACCCCTTGCTGCATCCTGGAAGCTCAGCTAGTACAGCCTGGTTCCCATAGTCCTGCCGGTAATTAGCCTGGCAGCCAGTTGCTGGCCCCCAGGCATGATCTGTGGAATGGCGTAGCCGCCACAGTCTGAGGAACTTGTGCCCTTACTGCCTCCCACTTTCTTAGTGAGAGACCTGGTTGCTAGTGATGAGTGCTTTTGCCTGGGCAAATTGATTTCTCCTTTGAGAAGGAAGATCTGTGTCCAGTGGGTAGAGTTAGTGGCCAAGCTGGAGGTTCCAGTCCATCTAAGTCTTGCTCTCAGAAGCCCTTCTTAAGGTGTGAGCCTTCACTGGATTTTCTTGAAAGCCTCTCCAGGCTACTAAATCCTTTCCCATTCCCTTTCTCAGAAGGAGGCAGGCTGCTAGCCCTGCTTTTTTCAGTTCCTCTGGGTCCTTTCTGGAGGAGAGTTTGTGAGGAAGCCTGAGGCACTCCAGGTCCCTGAGGGAAGGGCAGGGAGGTCATGCTGCCCTTTTTGGCCTATCGGAGTAGACCTGGAATAGCTCCTCATTTGGCTTCCTCAGACTTTAACTGGGAGGCACAGCCTTACATCTCATTCTGCCCCACCCTGCATGCCATTGTTCTCTCCTGACTGAGGGGACTTGTCCTCAGCAGGTCTGATGAGATTAGGCTCCCCTGATTCAGGCTGCTTTCCTCCCTCAAAGAGCTTAGCACAGACAGTCATAAAATGGGCTTGCCCCCCTGCCCTAGCTCCTTGGCTCCCTGGCTAACAGTCTGGTCTGGCCTCTGTGGCTCTTTGTCCTTTGGCTGGTGTGGGGCATGAGCTAGAGTTGTGGCAACACCTGGCTTTCCTGAACCCTGGATGGCTACACTGACCAGCACCCCCTTCTGCCCTGGATGGACCTGGCTAAGCCAAGGTCAGGGCATGTGCCATCCTGCATGCCTTGTCTCGTTTGTTGTTGCTTATTTGCTTCCACCTCATGGTGTGTGTTGCTCACCCCAGTGTGTTGTGTGTCTAACCCTCTCTCTCTGCCGTCACTCTCCTCTTCTTGCTGGCGTCATTTCTCTCATCCCATCTCATTGGCTGCTGTAGTAATAGGTAAGCGGCCTGTCAAGCTGCCGCCCAGGCACAAGTGGGTGGGGGGCCCTGCCCCCCATCATTATTTTCTTCATCCTTTTTCATTCCCTAAATTTGCCCTGGAACCAGATCCTGAACAAGAATAATGGGTGGCCCACCTCCATGGCCTCAGTAGACTAGAGCCTTCTCTGAAGTCATGCTGGCTTTGTATAATTTCTGGAAGAGCCAACCTTCACCACCAGTGAAACCACTAGTGGGAAAACTGGAGAAGAAGCAGGGTCTCTTTCTCATCCAGACCTAAAGCTTATTGAGAAGCTAGAGAGGTGGCAGATAGAAAATTGGCGCCAAGTCTGGGAGTCAGGAACATACCTCCCTAAACCTGATGGACCTCACTTTATTAAGGTCGCATCTGTCCTCCTATCATTGCCACTTGATTTCCCTGCTTCTCAGGGACT